TTTTATTGAATGCATAGAGTCACTGCTAGGCAATTAAGTGTGCTTTTTTTTGTTGTTACTGTCTTCTAAATGTAGTAATCTGTGTGATTCTTTCATCTTACAGTGTTCCATGCGGAAATCAGGAAGTGGAAGCCTGAAGAAGGCTGTAAAAGCTGGAGGAATGATTCTCTGCATCTCTGCAGATATGTAAGTATTAGATGGCTGCTTAAAAGATTTCTGGCAAAGCCTAAATTGCTAGAACAGAGATCACTTTTGATGTGACAGTTGCACAGCCTTTTCGTGCCTCCATGAAGGAAAGCTTTGTGTATATGTTCCTAGGAAGAAAAAGATGAGGCACCCACTTTGCTATTCTAGAAATTATGTCCCCTGCCCCCCAAAAGGTAAAAATGCATAGTGAAGTTCTTCTGTTCTTCTCTTTATTTGCAAAAAGTTGAAAGTGGGTGAAAGCTTAGCTGATCTTTAGCAATGTCATCTTTGCCTTAGCTGATGAGCTGCCACTTGGGAAGGGGTTTAATGGTTGGCTGAGCTGCATTGCCTTTTGTAATGAGGTTTTTAAACTTGACTTTGTGGTGTTCTTGTATGCGTGTTTTTTTTTTCCTTCTCTCCTGATGCTCTCTGTGCTTTGAAACTCACTGTAAATACCTTCTGATGCAACACTTTTATTAAGTAGCATAATGCCTGACTGTGTTTTGTTATTGCTACAGTAACTATAGTCATTAAAGAAAAATGTTTGCCTATGTTACTTAAATATCCCCTTTGCATCTTCTCTCCTCCTGCCAGCTCTCGCCCTGTCCAGTTGTGCTGTTGTCAGCTGTGCTATGGGGTGCCTTGCCCAACAGAATCACTGCTGAGTCACCTCACTGCTTTGGTTTCTACACACCTTGGGTTATGTGGGATTTGGTCCCTTGAAACCATGGGAGAAAAGACTTAATTGTCTTACAAAATGTATAAAGTAAAGCAATCGTTAGCAAGATTTTTTTTTTTAATTTTCCAGTCTTAGGTGTTTGGCAATATGTTGACCCATCCTGTCGTCTTAAAGGGTGGCTTTAATTTAACTGGTTGTAGTCACCAGCTTCATTTGTTTCCAAGTGCTTACTCTTTTCTACCAASAGAGAGAGCATCATTGTCCATCTGTGCTTTGCAATTCCTGTTATGTGGAAGATGGCCTCATGGGCATCTTGGTGATTCATATTTACTGTAGGTTATTGCTTAATACTTGTTTGAGTAATTGAGCTTTTTTGGGAATCCTGTATCCTGTAGTGCTGAGTGCTACAACATTAGCCTGGCAAAGCTTAATAGCCAGTGCTGCCCTTTCTGTCTTGCTGTCTACTTGTATAAAGTGTAACAGTAAGCTTGCTCTTGAGAAGTGATTCTTCTGGGAATTGCTGCTTTGCCACCAGTGCAAGATTGCCTTTGGGTATATGAGAACTTTATACTTGATGTTTCTAATCCAACTGAGAGAAATATTTTAGCAAGGCCTTGTGCTTACTTGGACATGATGAGCTTTGCTTTCCTCTGCAGTTAAAYGAGGACCTCTCTTTGCTTTCCTGAAGGTGCTTTTCTGTCTTCACTGAGCACTGAAATCAGTGCAGCTCCCCAGGCTGCAATCAGAACCCTTCTACCTTAACAAAAAGCCTTGAGTTCTCCCACTTGTTTCTGTCGCCTTCCTATGCACTTGTTGCCTTCATGGCTTGAAACCTGAGTCATATAGGAAGCRGAGGTGACTAGCAAATGGATGCAGCACAGTGAAAGCATTTTCTAGAGGCATAACTCGTGCAGCGCCAACAGACTTGTCTCTTGCAAAACAAGATACATGCGCAAGCTGCCAGCGGATGCAGTCTGACATGTTTTAGCTGGTTTTGCTATTTTGGGGTAGAATGCCTCAAAGTATCTGGAACATGGCATCAAATTTCATGTATTGGAAAAGTGAGAAATTACAGCAACTGCACTTGAGTATCCTGTAGTGTTTGCAGTGAGCAGGATGACTGTTGGACTGTCTCCTCAGCAGAAGAAAGTAGCTGTGCTGCTGCAAGGAGCACGAATGGTAGCAGAGCCCAGGCTGTGCCTGGTCAGGAGCAGCAGGCAGCCCTTTGCAAGCAGGTGGGTTGGAGAACAGAAAAGTTGCTTGCTTGGATGGATGCTTTTGGGGGAGACTTGGTTAACTTGCACTCTGTAAATCAATGTCAATGTACTCCCCATGGGTTTTCTGAAGCAGCCATGAGGATGCTTCCTCATGTACAGCAGTTTAGTGGTGCTGGCTGACTTTCCTTCTGCATAAAGTAATGCTGTCGTCTTGTGACAGCAAATGGCAACAAAACCCGTCTGTTTGTCTTGCCAGTGATGTCAAATTTTAGACTTGAAAGCAGGGTATTTTGTTAATACAAACAGTGGCTTAGGAAGTGTGGTGCAGCGTGAATCACTTCTGTTGAGAAAATACATGGATAGAGTGTGTAAGTTAGTTGTGTAAACTTCTATTTTGTTGTTTGTTTTTAACTTGAAATGGGAGTTACTAAAGTGAATTAGAATAATCTGTGCCCATTATCCTGCTGTTGATGTTGCTGCTACCAGTTGCTTCACAGGAAAGCACCATTTGCTAATAAGCAACTATTCCTTAACCTGCCCCTAGGGAAAAGCCTTTCCTGGAAGAACAAGTATTAATGTGTAARTAGAGCATGTAAATTCTGGTGAATGTAAGGCAGGCGGGAGAAGGAAARCTGGTATCTGGCAGTTGATCACTAATCAGTAATTTGCACCATCTAATAATATCCTGTTTGCTTTGGTGTAATGGGAAAATAAGTGGTGTGGCTTTGAGAAGACAACGTTCCGCAGGCCTGCGGCAGCCCTGGACCGAGGTGTTCCCTTTCCATGCACAAAGAACTGGACCTATGAAATTGCCTTATGGGTTATTTATGTGGAAATGCTTCTTTTAATGAAACCTGTAAAATACGAATGACTAAAGCAATTTTTGAATGCATCAGACTGAACTTGTCCATAAAAGTGATGTTACCAAGTGCTTCTTTTAAGCAATTGGAAGCACTGTTTGTTCCTTCTGCTGAAAAAAAGTTATACAAATTCGATTCCTAATTCTTTTTTTTTTAAACTGATGAGTTGCTAAATGTTTTATTTCTAATTTCTGTAGATATCTGGGCTGACAGTCTGGGAAGATGCATATTCCCTTTTACATTTTGTTCTCTGTAGTCTTTCCTCTCCCCTTTTTTCTCTCTCCCCTCTTCCCTTTCCCATGTTGTCTTTCTTCCACAGAAGGACTTCATTTGAACTGGTGTATTGCATGCAATCTGTGGGTCTGGCTGGGCTCCTGGCATCCTGGCAATAAAACAAATGGTCAAGAGTGAAAGACTATGACTGTAATAAGAGAAATATCTTCTTAAGCTGCAGGTCCATACTTTAAGGCTTATTTACCAAAAACAAACAAAAAAAGTGTGAAGGGCTAGTCAGGCTGTTTTAAGATTTTCTTCTAGAGGAATCTCTAGGACTAATCAGTATTTACAAGATTTGTTGGTATGTGAGGAAACTTCTTGGTGGAGATATAGTTTATAAGGGTTAAAAAGCACTGGGAAGGAAGCCAGTTGTGCTGGGGAAAGGTCTCTTCCTGATTAAACTCGCTCCACATTGTAGTAAACTCTGCTGGCAAAAGCAATTTTATTTGCTTTGTGAGCTGCGTATATCGTGTTTTGTCAAAATAGTTATAATAGTTGGGAGGAGCTGGTGAGCAGATATGTTTGTAATCATAATTTCTGGAGAATTCATCTGTTGTTGGCGCTGCTGCCCAAAGTTGGCTTAGAGCTTAAAGCAGGAGTTCGCTTTCTGAAGGGCTTTTCCTAAGAAGGAATACACAAAACCTGCCATTGCATCTCTTTTCTTTCTTTGTATTTAATTTCTAATCCTCTTTCTGTCTTGTTTTTGTTCGGTAACCTAGAAGCAATGACCAAAAAGCTAGAGCAAAAAGACTAGTTACGCCCCTGTTTTACTGAGGAAGCTGCTGCCCAGCAGACATAGAGGTGAGATGCAAATAAGTGGAGAAAGGAGAAATGTGATAAGCAATTGCTTTCTTGGAGCTGATGTTTCTGAGAAATGGCATATGTGAGGACATGGCCGCCTGCTGATAGGTGCTGAGGAAGAGTTTGGTTGGTTTTAATGGCAGTAGCTTAAGATCTCCTTTTCTGTGAGTAAAATATCTTTTCCAAATATGCAAGRCTTTAACCTTACAATTTCTAGAAACAGTATGAAGAAATCATGATAGCATTTTAATTTAGATGGAAAAAGCTGAACTGGAAGTACTGCTTCTTCTAACTGCATGTGTGTCTGAAAGCTTCATTAAAAGCCCCCCTCTGCCTTGCCTCTTGCCTTACCTGGAGGGCAGGATCCCGCTTGAAGCACTGAATAAATCCATAAATACCATCTTGCATGCAAAGTGAKTGTTGCCACCTTTCTGAAAACATGCTCTGAGTATATTTTAAAAACAAAAAAATAGATGCCAAGCTCTAAAAAATAATAATAAAAAAGCTTTCACCTGTTTGTCAAAGATACAGACTTAATTTTAAGCATAAATCTCTGTCATTTTTCCCTTCTAAGTGCTTTATTTCAGCGTTTTGTATCCTATATATAAAATGTGGATATACTTTTCAAAACTATTTCCTGTAAAATATTCCTGTGTTGGAGTAGCCTGTCCTCATGAAGTCTGTACATGAATCAACCTCTTTGTAACCTATGTTACAGTAAGAATTTTAGGAATTTCCTTTATTAGACCCCGTTAGTATATTGGAGCCACTGAGTGAGCTGCATTGATTTCTAGGTAAAACAGCCTGAAACTGCCTCAAATTTATGGCATATGTGTTTTTTTTTTTTTTTTTAGTACGCAAGGCTTAGATATACTGAAACTGGTCTCTTAATCTCTGGTGGATGTTACTCTGCATTTAACTCTTGCTGTATCCTTTGTGCAGGAGCAGTGATTTAATTCTGAAAGTGTTTTTCAGGCTGGTTGACTGCCGCTGATGGCCCGCTGAGATGTGCTGAGCGGCGGCCGCGAGGGTGTCCGAGTGCCAGGGGACCACTTAGAAGCCGGGCTCGCAACACCATGGGCCAGTGCGTCACCAAGTGCAAGAACCCTTCCTCCACCCTCGGCAGCAAGAACGGGGAAAGGGAATCCGGCAGCAAGTCGCACGGTAAAAGAAGCGGAGTCCACAAAGACGAGCACGCGCCGGGCTGTGGGAAGTCTTCAGGGGATATCCTCGTGAAYGGGACAAAGAGGACGGACGCCGCTGTAGAGTCTAGTCAGCCTCCGCTGTTCTCTGGGGACACCAAGAAAGACGCTGTTTCCAGTGCGGAGGAGTCTTCTCTCCAAAGGATTGGGGAGCTGTTTAGGAGATACAAGGATGAGCGGGAAGATGCCATACTGGAGGAAGGAATGGAACGATTTTGCAATGACCTCTGTGTTGACCCCACTGAATTTAAAGTGCTAGTTTTGGCTTGGAAATTCCAGGCTGCCACCATGTGCAAATTTACAAGGTTAGTTCTTGTAGAACTTGTAATTATTTTCATATGTTAATATATAGCCTATCATCTGTATGTGAGAGGCAGCCTCATTAGCCTCACTTCCTTATCTCTTCTAGTACATGMAATTTTGACCAAAGTAATTCTTACCGTTGCAAAGGTAAACTTTGTCTTGTCCTCTTTCCCTCCCYTCACAGTGGAGCTTGGAAGTGCAAACATGCTTTGGGCATTACAGGGTTAATGTTGAACAGTGTAGTAAAATGCTCTTAGTTTTATAGTTTTATTCTTCATCTGCCAGGGATAATTTTGCTCTATCCAGCATCATCTTGTTGCTAATAAGGTTGGGCACTGAAATTAATTTCTCCTTTAAAATAATATGTGCAATTCCTTGCTAATCACTGTCAACTGTTACTCCTTTTTAAGAGCTGAAAAATAGATTCTTTCTGAAGAATTGTTCCTGCCCAGCCACTGTTACACTTAACGACTTTTTTCAAAGTTAATTTTGTTAAAGCAGAGAGAGAGAAAAATAAACCCAGGGTTTTAGACACTGTGGTAGCTGTTTCATGCTGGCTGGCAGTGATTGGTATTTAAAGTGCTGTCTGTCTGGAAAAGTTGTTCAGTCAGCAGGCTTAAAAAGCGTGCTTGATGCTCCAAGAAACTAGCTAAAGTTTCCAGCAAAGGACTAAAGCTAACCAGCAAAAAGAAAACAAAAAGGGAAAAACAGTAACCCTTCTYCTGACCCAGTTGTATATCACTGTTCAGGTAAGAGCAAGTAAAGGCTTCCTTCAGGGTCTCATATGCTCTTTTTGAGTTAGAATGTATATACATATATACTTCTTCCCATCTAGATTGGCTTGTGTAATGCTCCTTGTTTTAATTTGCCTAATAACTATTGACATTATTTGGGTGTTCAGAGCTGGAGACCTTCTGTTGCACACAGAGCCCGGATGGCTTTTCCTGCCTCTCCGGAGGTGTTGGGGATGTGGGTGTGTGCCATGTGGAGCGAGGGCTCCGGAATGCAGCTGTGGGTTTCCTGGGAGCGGAAGGAGCAGATATTTGCTAACGTGGTTAGGGAATGTGTGTGTGTGTTTCTGCAAGCCAGCCCGAGGGCTGCTGGTTTTGATCCACTGGAGAGGTAGCAAATGCSCTGGAGCAAGATCACCTGTGTGTAATGGTACAGTCCCTGGTATTGGTCTCGAGACACGCTTGAGTGCTAGTGCTTTGATTTCTGTGCTACAGAAAGCAGTGCACGAGCGACATGCTCCTCTGTGCTCTGCTGTCTCCATTCCTCCCTCTGCACCATCCCACGTTTGGGGTCTGTGGTTACCCTTAAAATTAGCTGGTGACTGTGCTGTGGCACTTGCTTATGAGCATGAGATAAATCAAAACCCGTGGTCTCCTACACTGGTGCTCTGTGCCCAGGTCCTGCCCTGTGGCTCTGTGGTGTCASCCTGTGATCTGTTCTTTCAGCAGGTGCCTTCTCTGACCACTGCAGCCCTTTTATTTTGCGATCTTGGAAAAGAAACCAAAACCTGAAGGAAAGGCAGAGCCAAACTGTTCTTTCCCTTGAGAACAGTTCATCCAGACCATGGGCATTTAGGCAGGTGTGGTATCAGACCAGCTGGTTTGTGTAGGAGGCTGCCGGGGGTAAATGTGTTTTTGATGCGTTTGCCTATCTTCTGTGGTACCTTTATTTTAAATTATTTATTTATTTATCATGAAAGGCACTAGATATGGCAATACCAAGTAGTGAGAAAGCCATAAGGCATAATATCTTAACAATGCTGGCGRTGCCTGCCTGTGCCACGTGGATGTGTCCGAGTGCGGGCCCCAAGCTCCAGGAAGCTTGAAAGGGCTCTCGTTGCCCAGTGTTCCCGGGCCCCCCAGAGAGGGGTACAAGCCTGCCCCTRTGGCAACACTTTGCTGGGCCACCTCTCTCTTGATTTGGCCTCTCTGAGCGGCGATGGGCTTTGCTCTGTGTGTGTGAGGTTGGTGAGAAGCGTTCTCACTAATTTCTCTTCTCTTGTTTAATAGGAAGGAGTTTTTTGAAGGCTGCAAAGCAATAAATGCGGACAGCATTGATGGCATTTGTGCGAGGTTCCCCAGCCTCTTGAATGAAGCCAAGCAGGAAGATAAATTCAAGGATCTCTATCGTTTCACCTTTCAGTTCGGCCTGGACTCTGAAGAAGGACAGCGGTCGCTTCATCGGGAAATAGCCATTGCCCTTTGGAAGTTAGTCTTCACCCAAAAYAAACCTCCAATTTTGGACCAGTGGTTACACTTCCTAATCGAGAACCCCTCAGGAATCAAGGGAATCTCCCGGGACACGTGGAACATGTTTCTAAATTTTACTCAGGTGATTGGACCGGACCTTAGCAACTATAGCGAAGACGAGGCCTGGCCTAGTCTCTTCGATACCTTTGTGGAGTGGGAAATGGAGCGAAGGAAAAAGGAAGAGGAAACCAAATGTATTATTGCGTCTTCAGACACAGAGGGGCTGTGTACGGAAGAACAGACTTAGCAGCGTTTCAGCATTTAAGCAGCAGTGGCAAAAGCAACCTGTTGCCCTTCACGAAATGTAAACTCTGGATGTTTCTGGAAATTGCCGAGGCTCCAGATTTTTCTACTTTACACCTTTTTCTGCCTTGTATTTGAAAGGGCTCTAAAATGCTGTATCATGTTTTAGGCACTTTCTTAATTTTGGTTATTCCTTTTATTCTTGCCCTGAAATATTTGACCCTGGCTACAAGTTAAGCATTTTTTTTTTTTTTAAGACTTCAGATTAGCATAAGTAAGTCTGATATTTCTTGCACAATGTAGATCTCTTTAGTTAGGTTAAATTAACATTGCTAAATTATACAGTGCCAGATAAAGTTTTTCATACTACATCTGTCAGGGCAGGTCTGTACTGTGTGTAGTGCTGTTTACATTGTTGAAATTTTAGGCTGTAATAATTTTAAGGTTTTATACCAAGATGAAAAGCAGTGTTAGCTGTTAACTATAAAAGCATTAATCCCCTGGTAATAAGGCTCTAAAACCAACATAAGCAACAGCTTTCCGTAATACGGCTAATTCCCGTTTTAAACTAACTCTTAGTGAATGAGTCCAAATCATTCCGTTTTTTTCAGAGTATCAAACTAAATGTTGGAATTGCTTTATAAAACTACTGTACCTGTCAGCCAACTGAGTGGTAGATGATGATTTGTATCTAAATCTCTTAGACATCACAAAGAGTGAGCAGTACTACCTCAGTTTTATTGAAAGTGGACTTGTTGAGGGACTTCCATTTTTCTCTGGAAGTTGTATTTTTGTGGTTACATGACAATATTTTTACTTGATTAAAAGAACCAAAGGTTCTGCTTCTTAAGTTTGCTAAACATTAGCAGAAGCAACAAACAAACCCTGAGTCTTCAAGGAAAACTGTGGTATAATTCTGCTTTAATATGTCTGATTTATACCTAAAGTATTATCTTACTTGTCTGGCAAGCACAGTACTTCTGTGTAAGGAACTATCTTTTGCATTAATATTGACAAAGCAGTTTTTTAAACCAATGCTTAATTGATAAGTTGCAGTTAATACTCCACACTTTCTGGAGCAACAATATTGGCATCTGATGACAAAGTGAATTCTTAATATGTTCTTAATGACGAAAGTGTAGATGCGTCATTTTTAGACTGATTTGGTAATTTTTGGATAGGAGTCAATTTATTATTTTAAAATGCCTGTATTGGGAATATTTGCCTGTTGAAACTGTTGTGACTTAAAGGGAGTTTTATTAACACTGGTTGAAACTTTTTGGTTATTGATGCTACCTTTTTTAATTTTAATATGTCAACTTTTTTACACTYTTTGGTAAAAGGGATGATTGCCAAGGCTTTCTATTAAGCTAAACAATGGCTTAATGAATTTGATATGTTTCCATTACACGTCTTTGTTTTCAGAGCTGCACTTCAGGATCGTAAAGTGACTTCAGTTAAAAACAAAACAAAAAAGCTGAACAATTGTCCATAGCATCTAATGGCTCTTGTGCTATATGAAGGTTTTAAAGCCAAAGGAAAACAGGTTTAAAGTGGAGCTTGTCATTAGACCCAAGAGGACATGCTCCTCAAACCTGCTGTGCCCCGGAAGGGTTCGTGGCCATGGGAATACCCACCCACCCGGCTTTGGAAATTGGCTTTGCTGGTACACAGCCTATGCAATAGCGTGGGTCCAAGACCATGACCCRCTAACACAACGTGGGTGTCTTAAAACTATTGGAGAAAATCCCGTGAGCCTCAAAGAGCCTCTCTTTCACCTGGGAGCAGGAGAGCTTGACCCGTGCTGCTCCCGCAGGCTCTTGCCTTGCAAGATGTGCTAAGCTGTGGAAAACAAAGGCGGTTGTTTTAGGTGCAGGTGAGTCTCCTCGCTGCAGGAAAGGAGCCCTGATCCTCTTTTCTCCCAGGTAGATGCAGCCTGGGGCTGTCCTTGCAGAGCCAGGGCYGAGGCGGGCAGGGAGACGCTCCTCCGCAGCCGCTTGGTTCTCAAAGGGTGCGAGTGTCAGCCTGGTTTGATAGTCAGGGAGGGCTGTGTTTGTCAAGTTGAGACTGCTTGTTCATTCAGATGTTAAAAGTCCGTCACTTCTGATTTTTCTTCCCCTAAAGAGAATTTAAAACGTCCGGAATGTGAAAGCTTAACTCGCGGACGCGTGCCCGGTGCGTGCAGCCCTGTGCCCTGGGCTGCAGCGGCTCCCAAGGCCTGGCACTGTGCAGCAAAGGGGCTGCCTTGAGCTCCGAGCATGGCCTGCAGCTCGGAAATTACTTTATAACGCATCAAGGTTTAGCCATTTTAGGTGTTTATCAGGTGTTTTTCAGCGAGGGCTTTTTTTGCTCTCCTCAAGATAGTGGTGGTGAATGTAYGGGAAGGAAAAGCTCCTGTTTCCCGCTGGGGAAAGGCCTCACGGTGCTTGCACAGGTAGCCAGGCTCCGAGAGCCGTTTAGTTTTAGTGTGATCTAATTGTTTTGAGCTGCAGTTTACAAAGTGCCAGCCAGGCCTGTCCGACCCTCGAAGCCCTGCACGCGGAGCTGAAGGCAGAGCGGAGCTCACGGGGCGCCGAGGGCCCGGGCGCCTCGGGGGGCACTCCCCCCGTGGCCCTCGCTGCTCCTTGCCGGGAATCGAGGGAGCTGTGGGCTTTGAACGTGTGTCCGGGCAGTCTGAGCGATGTTGGAGCCTCCCAGAATAAGCCTGTTGGATGGTTAAACTGTGAATTTCTATGGAATAGGMCAAATACATTCACGCTTCATTTTTCTGTGTTTTTGACCTTTCAAGCCTAGGCCAGAGGACTGTAAGTGTACAGTGATGCAGAGAAAWCCTTGAAAAAATTGCAGCTATTTATTTAATTTTATTTTACTTTTTGTATGGATTAAAGAAAAAACAATGCATGAAGTGAATCAGCTACAGCTTGGGATAGGTAGTTCTAGATGTGCATTTGGGCAGTTTTGGTAATATACTGGCAAACTGGTTTGATACCCACGCTAGAGTTTCGTTGCCTTCCCTCATCCCGCAGCAAGGTAAGCCCTGCAAGCGCGGCTCCCCGGGCCGGGCACGGCCGTTTGCAGCCCCCAGGGACTCGGCTCCCCGTTTAGTTGCCCTGAGGCCCAGGTGAGGGGCCGCTCTGCTGCGGCAGAGACGCGCGCTCCCCTCCGGCCTCGGCGGGACCCGGCGCGGGGCCTGGGTGTCGGGTGTGCGTTTACTGGCTGCTGTACTGTGCCCTAGGGAGGGTTCCAGCTCTTCTAGCACACAGGAGATGGGGTCGGAGGTGGCGCTGGGGCCGGATCGCTGGGCCGTGGGCCTTGGTGCAGGGCTGCCTGGGGACTGCAGCGGGCTGGGGACGGAGCCGCGCGGGGTTTGCTCCATGGGTGGATACAGCCCCTGTTCCCTGACCGTCCCGAGCCCTGCAAAGCACCAGGCCCCCCAGGCTTGTGTCCACCGAGGACGTGCGGTCCCGTTGGGGCCGGACCCAGTGCAGTGGGCAAGGGTTGTGCAGCCGCAGCGCATGCTCCAGCCAGAGGAAACGTGCTGGGATCTGCATGCCGGAGTCAGCCTGCGCTCGCTCTGCTCCTCATGCACGTGTGCTCTTGGAGGCCTTTGTATTTAAATGGAATATGCTTTCCTGAAGTCGGAGCTGTTGAGGGTTGCATCCCAATATACCGCTAACACAGGCACAAGGAAAGCTTCCACATCAGCAGTGAAAGCTCAGTGCCTGCCTAAGTTTTACTGTGTGCAAATACGGACCCCGGTGTTAGGTTTTCTCTCTGTACTTTTGAAGATTGAACCTTTGGATTTGTATCACCAGCTGAAGTGAAACTCCTGAGATTGTAACCAGAACGCTGTTACTCCTTCACCATGAAGTACATAGGTGTCTCTCTACCTCTTGTTCTTAGACTTGAATGGTTTAAGGTTACCATCCTTCSCTTCTGGGATTTTATTCCTGGAGGAATAATCTGTTTTTTCAGTTGACTCGGTTAAGTGCTCTGTGTTTGCTGTGCTCCGGACGCTGCCTTTCGCCGCRCAGCCGACCCTCCGGGATGCGGAAGCGCCGATGTGCAGGGGATTCCGGAGCCAGCCCCAGCCCTCCGCGTGCCCCGCAGAGGTGCGGAGCCCTCGATGCGGCGCCCTGGGTTTGCTGATGAGAAATAGGGCTCAATGACAGGTACCGTGGGGAGCTGCGCGAGTGCAAGGGCATCCTCTCTGTTCCGAGGTCAGTGCTTTGGTCGGGACAAAGCCCTTAGGCTCAGAGCAAAGCCGGGCCGTTCTGGGGCGCGTTGGAGCTGCCCCGCTGGTTCCAGTGCCCCTTTGCTCTCGGGTCGTTCAGGTGGCAGCTCTTTCATGCCACACATCAGCCTCCCTTTCTGCTCCCTGAAGAACACGGCAGCGCGATCACCGTTGTTGTAAAGCTGGACTGGGTGCCGTGGCCAGTGTTGCTGCAAGAATATCCTTCCAATTTTAGGGCTGCTTTTGAGGGTGTGAAGTCTTGCACTATTTGTCTTGCACATATTTCAAGGGAATGGTGGCAACTTAGGAGATGACAGGCAAAAGGAGCATGAATTTACAAGTCTTGCAAGCAGTTTGCCTTAAATCACTGAAATTGCAGCAGTTCCTCACTACTATTGCAATCCTCTGCCCTCTCCTCATTGTGTTCTAAAACATTAACAGGTTCTGGAGGTTTTACAACATCTTTTGTTGTTGGTTTGTATATAGAGAGGCTTCTTTCTGCAGACATACTCTGCAGATAAGCCCTTTTTGGATAACATGTCACTTTACACACAGGCAGAAGCAACATTTACCGCCATAAATGTTCTTGCTGTAACTTTTTCTTTCCTGTAAGTTACATTTGGCCTAAAGGTTGCCTACTGTTGAAWGGATGTGTTTACTTGAATGTTGCCATGTCCTGCAGTTAGAGCCGCTGACTCTGGCTCCTCTCCGGGCTCACGAGAGGGAGGATCGTGTGGCCAGAGGTGACGATCTGCACAGAGCATCGGTGGCACCCAAGGTCGCCAGCTGCTTTTTACTCCCGTGTGTATTAACGTGAGAGGACGTCRTAGCGTAGGGCTTCATGTTTTGAAGTTGTGACCGTTTTAGTCACGCTAAACATAGCTAAAATCCGTTTTCTTTCTTATCTGTAAGTTAAAATAGCCTTTTAAAAAGGAAAGGAGTGGGCAGGAGTGGCTTGAGAGCCTTGTGCTGTTGTGAATTATCTTGTGTTTCAAGAGCAGTGAATGTGACTTGCAGGATCAGGTTTTAACCCAGCGACTCTGGGGCTTTCCTGGCTGCTCTGGAGGGCAGGACGCAGCTTTAGGCCTGAGCCTTGGGTGGCCCTGGCCCCGCGCGTGCTGGCCGGGCTCCCTGCTCGTGGGTCCAGGCCCAGCTTCGTCTCACGGCGCTCTTTAAGGARGGAATGTCCCGGTAGTGCGTCCTGGCCCGGAGACGTGACTGCTCCTGAATAGGAAACGGGGAACGCGCCGCTTCGCGTGGCGCTCGCGGAACTGTGYGTGGGCGCAGCGGCTCAGCGCCCGTCGCGCGCGTCTCGAGGGCGACAGGGGCAGCTCGGCCGCAGCTCGGAGTCATTTTGCCTTCCCGGCCCCCAGCCCTGAGTGCCGCGGCGCCCGCCCCGGGCAGCGATGAATGTAGAGTGTTGGTCCCGGTCAGAGCCGCGGCCAGATGGAGCGCTTGAAAACGGCGGGGGGAAATTCTGTTTCATGTTAAAACTTTTCCTTTTTTTTTTTTTTTTTTTTTTTTTTTTTTTTTTTTTTTTTTTAGTTTTCTTTAAAGGATGTGGCCAAATTTGAAACAATGYTCTAGAGAAAAAGGAGGAGGAATTCAAGATGATGCATCTACTTCTGGGTCCCATTTGCTTTGTAGCTTTACAGTTATTTTTTTGTATCAAAGTTTGCTCACCACCGTTGTCTGGAACGGAACGGAACCAGCGTATTTATATACAGCGCAATCTAATGCACAATGCAAATAGGCTGTAATGAGAAGGTTTCTTTACTTGATAGCAATTCCGAGTGCAATGTTTTTATCGAGTCCCTTTTGAAAGAGGAGCATTAAGTGCAGTCCGAGTTTTTCTTCTCTTACAAGCAAAGTATTGGTTTGTCCATTACTGACTTTTGTGGAATTTGTGCCAGATGTATATTAAATATTTTGGTGCTTTTTCTAATCCAATCTGCCATTCGTTTACCTGTGAGATTATTGTACAAGTACTTCTGTATATTTAAATGACCAGTCCCTTCAAGGAAAAAAACAAAACAAAACAAAAAAACCCTTTAGTCACGCTGTACCCTGACTGCTGTAGCTTTGTAAATGTTCCAAAGCCTCTGGATTTCCTGTATTCCAGTAAGGTTTGGGGGGAGGGAGGAGAGCAGCTACAGCAGGGCAGTCCACTGGAAAGGGAATTTGCACGTTGTTCTGTGCGTTACTGAACAAATGAGTAACATTTGTGGTGTTTACATAATGCACACTTTGGTGTTCACTTTTTTGTGTTCAAGCTTTGTACAAAAATGTCTTATTTAAAGCTGAAGTCCTTTTTACATTTTCAATTAAAAGGGGAAAAATTAATTATTTTTTCATGCCTATAACTGGGACTCTTGCTAATTTTCTTTGTTATCTGCAGAGTTTCTCAGGCAGGATGCTTGCTAAGTCCCGTGTAGGCTGCGCAGGGAGGTGACCACATCGTTTTCAGCTGCCCAAGGTGCAACCTAGATGGTTTTTCCCGACTTTGCACCGCGAGCGTCTGCAGCGGGAGGTGCCGGACGGGAGCCGGTCCCGACACGGATGCAGGGTGAGCTCAGCGGCCGTCCGGCCGGGTCCCAGCCCCGCCGTGGGGCGGCACAGCTGGGGTGGGCGCGAGGGCCTGGCTCCCTCGCAGGTTTTGTGGGGAGGCTGCCCTGGGCTGCGGTAGCTGCAGCCCCCAGGGAGTTGGGCTTAAATATATTTCTTAAAATATATTAAAAAAAAAAAAAAAAAAAGGGCACCATCTAAGAATTTTAATGATGAGCATTTGAGAGGCATTAAATGCCAACTATGGACACTAATTTAAGCRCTGCCATTTCAATAAGTCACTAATGCTTCCCTGGACCAGTGCTATGTTTTCCTTCATTTCTTTTCCCTTTATTTCTACCCATTCTTCCATGCACCAATAYGCAACTTCTCCATAAAATGGACTTTGCTAAGGACCCAGCAAAGTGACTGTGGGTTGGAAGTTAGCAGGGTGTTAGAGTCTATAATCAGCTGAATTTTATCACTGCTGAAATAACTACTTCAGCTTTATCTCAGCCTCCTCATAATTCAGATTAAGAAATTCCAAGTCTTCCCTTTTCCTGAGTTTCCTAACCCTCTAAGCAGCAATTTTCCAGTGCCCAAAGCTCTCCTAGGCATCCTGGGGCTTGGAAAGTCATGTTGTTAACGAGCAGCAGGTGAGAGGCGGCGGCTCTGCAGCCATCATGTAGTGGAGCAGTGGTGGCAGCGGCGCCCTGCAGCCCAGCACTGGGCTCCCAGCTGGATCCAGGGGCACGGGCAGGTTTACCTGGACGGGCACAGTCCTCGCAGCCCTGTCCCTCCCTCTGCAGCCACAGCACAACTGCGTGTTGGGGGTACCCCCTTTGAGAGGGGTGTAGGGGAGGAAAAGGGGAGTTGGGGAGGGAGGAGAAGGTGGAGGGTGTCCAAGAAGTGTGAATCACCAATTCCTCCGTTCCATGGCCTCAACACAGCGCCTTCCCGGAAAGCAGGCAGCAGCTCTGCTTCAGCAGCTGGCACCGCGCGGTCCCCAAATCCCCACAGTTCCTGAGAGGAGCCATTAACCTCTGGGCAGCTGCTGCAGGTACCGCACTGCGTGGTGCTGTTTTACGAGCGTCAGTGTTTGAGCTCGGCCCAGCAGCCTTTTGCACGACCCACCTGCTGAGTTCAGCGTTCAGGCCAGTCCTGCTCGGCTTCCTTGCAGCACTTGTCCAGCCCTTCCCTAGCTCAATGCCAGGGAAAAGTGACACAGCAAGAAAGGGTTAATGGAAGGTTTCACTTTAAGATCTTCTGAATAGCTTTTATTTTTAGACTTTATAAAAGATACAGTGAAAGCCTATTGTTCTTATGGTAAGAGACCTTTACAAAGACATCAATACCGCAAGTAATTAAAAATATCGCAACAAAAGACTTCACTTAAAAACTTGGTGATTTAACAGGCACTCCTCTCTCCATCATCTTTTATTCCCATCAGACCAAGGCCAGACTGTGATCCGTGTATGCTGCAACACAAACAACAGGAATGTTATTTCTGTTCAGGGTAGTCTTGATGCATATAAGCCAGCTGGTGTAGTAGTGAAAGTGCTGCAGGTCTTAGCATCAGCAAGTTTAAAAAAAAAAAAAACGCATTTCCCCCCCCCAATAACTAGTGGGCATTCTTTTTAAACAAGAAACCTGCTAGGCTTTGTGGGACATCTGGAAAACAGCAATTCACAAACCTTGCTTGGCAAGAGACTCTTCCAGGCCTGGGCTGAAGTGCCCTGCTACCAAGGCAGTGCCTGAGCTGGGAGCCTCGGGGCTCAGGGCATCCAGAGTCTCCTCTGTGAGGAAGAAGCTCCTGCCCCTGCCTAGGCTGGATTCACGTGTCACGTCTGAGGCGTCACAACAGGCCAGTCTGCTGTGTGAGACTAGTTGGAGAGGGCACTGGAAGTAAACGTGGACCTGCTGAGGCCAGTGAAGCTGCTCCAGAAGCAACAGGGTGGGAGGATCTCCACCAGCACCTCCTGTCCCAGCGCTTCTGGGAGGACTAGCGGGTCAGCAAACAAAGCAAGGTGATAAAAGTGGTAGGTAAGAGGCAAGTGACTGCTCAGTACTGTAGAGACTGACTCCGCTACAGCTCAGCTGCAGGCAGTAGCTGGTCCAAGAACCAAGTTGTGCTTCTAAACCCCCTGCAGAAGTTTTCCTCAGTTCAGCCCCCCCCCCCCAACCATTTTAAAGTCATAGTGATGGCTGATGACAAGCTTGTGCAAGAAACCATTTGTATGAGGGTAGATAGACAATCAAGGGTTTTCTGGTAAGCTGGAATAATAATAAGCAAAATAAGATAGTAATTCTTTTGGCATGGATGTAGGAGCAGCAGCTAGACAATATTTACTTAAGGAAGCAACTTTTTTAAGGTAAACATTACTTTTAAAAAGTTGTAGACATTATTAGAGCAGCACATGCCAAGAGCAGGCCGTGGCACGCAACTTTGCCGAGCTGTTTGTGACCAGCATTGAGACTACATGTGCTCTTGGYTTGGGAATACATCTCCTTTCTAGAGACAGAGTGTTTGGTCTGTGTTTGGTCTAGAGGCCAACACAGCATCATGATTCTTTTCCTCAARAAGCTTGTCAAGTTGGCAAGGGGCGCCTGGCCATGGGGCAAACCGATGCTCCCRAGAGCAGCTCTTGCCCTGCTTCTATTTCAGCACAGGTTCTTTTTCCGCAAAGGAACGTCCTTCTGTTGAAGAGTACCTGAAGAAAAGCCAGGGTAGATGGGAGCTATGTGTGACTGTCTAAACAGAGGCACAGAAAGAGAGCAGTGTGAAGTCTGTTGAAATCACTATGTACTCAGGAGCTAGGGCCTTGCTTGGGAAAGATTTGACCTTTCTGGTTAATTATTAAGCACTGAATGACTGTGGCAATTCAGCCCCAGCRTTTCATGTGCAGGAAGCCCCCTTCATCTGGTAGCATCTCTGATACTAATGCTGAAGTCCAGCTCAGGGCACTGTTCTCTTGCAAATGGTGGCCTGGCTTCAGCAGTGAGATAGTTAAACAAACAAGCAAAAATCCAACAAACCAAATAAAATATGGCTGCTGAGGAAACCTGGTTTAGTTCTGCTTGGCATTAAAAAAACTTGCCTTGCCAGCAAAGCTGCACTGACTTCAGCATACAGAAGAAACAGCTGACAGAGCTGGTAGGTGATCACAGAAGTATCATGCTGCTAAGTAGCACTGGGTGCTTCAGCCTTGATAATCTGGACCATCAGCTACACAAATGGTTTCAGCACTTGGTTCCAGCTCAAACCAAGAGCAGGAGGTTCTGGGCAGGATTTGCTGTTCAGCTTTTAGTGCCCTAAAATGAAAGTCAGACTAAGCAGAACAGCTTMTTCAGGCCTTCTCCCAGCCTATTTTAGTTTTCCTGTAATCTATGAGAAAATAAAACTGTACAATAAAAATGTTTGACAATGTATCTGCAAAACAGATGGCAAATTACCTGTTCACCCCAGGAAAGAGAACAACGCACAGCGTGTTATTCTGCAGCCGTCGGTAAAGCTTCCGGATACGCTGGTCCAGCTTCTTCAGCTTTTTCCTTAGCTCCTGCTCCTGTGTAACAGAATGTAGGCATTAAAATCCCCTGTTAAGCTGCTCTTAGGGGGAGACTGTCCCCGTGACCCTGTCAGGGAGGCCAGCAGTGATTCTGTTTCTGCCTGGCCCTTAGGAACACAAGGGCTCAGCAGCAGGGAGAAACCTCTGTGCTACTTAAATGGCCACTTCCTGCTGTAGAAATGAGCCCTGCAACTAGATCTGTTTCTTCCTGTAGGGCTGTGCAGCCTGTCCTGTGACGGCCCCTGCCCTCTGCTGCACCTGGGTCTGCTTGCTCTCCAGTGGCAGCCGTCAGTTCTTGTGCAGCACCACTGCTGTCCCAAAGGGACTATGCAGGCTTGCTACGTTAGGCTGTGCCCACAAATGCCACCTTATCTTACTTGCTCTTATGGCTCCAAACTGCTCTGCAGCCTCTACTCTAGCACAAGGAGATCACTCTGCTAGAGGCAGCTCTGCACTTAAGCCTGCTCAAAGCTATTGATTTCTGAGCCTCAGGTTGATGTCACTGACCTTTGCCRTAACTACAGTGAAGACAAGATTGGCTTCAAACTCACAAAATTAGCTTCTTGCTCCTTTTCCACACGTAAGATGTCTCCTCTTTGCTTCTCATTGCTGTGTTCCATTTGCCAAATCCATCTCTGGAGGTGACCTGGGGCAAGAGCCTTCCTACTTCGTAGCCTACTCCCCGTCACTGCCCATTGATTTATAACTTGAAGGGCATCCACAGCACTTTCTGGTTTCAGGAATTCTGCAAAACAGAGAGAAGAGCAAAATACTTTRCCAGTGATGCTGATAGTCTGTTCCTTAGCACCAGTAGGGCAGTACTGAAGGTCTGGAGCAGGAGGGGGATGAGAAACTGAAATCACTGCAGTAAGGAGATCCTAGACCTGCTCAGGTAAGCATCAGACCCACAGATGTGCCAGCACATCTAACAGCATCCCTCCAGTTGTCCATCCCTCACATTTTTAGAGGTGGCTACTCGTGTCAGTGCGTAGCTGGACAGGAGCCATGCTTCATTTTGGACTGCAGCCAATTTTGGAACTTTTCTGGATGAGGAGGTTTTTGTTTAAGAGTTTTTCTTTCAAACATTCAGTTGTGAACTGCTCCTTAAAGCAACACTGGAGTATTTCAGATACTACCACTTTGTGCATAAAGAATTTCAGTTGCTCTTGTTGTGTCWGTGCAGGTTTCCCAAAGGCTGCTGAACCAGCCTGAAGGAAATAAATAAATGGGCTACAGGCAAAGTTACTCACTGAGGAAACAGCAGTTCCTGTGCTTTCCGCTCTGGAGATCCCTTGGCAGGAACAAAGCTTGCAGGTCTTTCAGYTGGCTGAATTCTTCTTGCAAGTCTGTCTCTGTTAATGACTTCTTTAGACCCGCCACATAAATCACACCTTCATTTTCTATATCTAGTTCTAGCTCCTTTATAAGGACATCACAGTCCAGCATTGTTCCAGTGACAGGTCTCTGAACCTGGAGTGAATCCAACAGAAGTSGTGTTAGCACGTCAGTCCTAGCAGCTCTGTGCTTTGAGACTCTTTACTTATTTCTTCTTTTTCCTCCTTACCAAAGCCTGGTCAGCCTTTTTCTTTAAAAATGTCATTAATGAAGGCTATCTTTAGACAAGATTGTGTTTGTAATGCAGCCCTACTTGGTAACTATGAGGCTCTGCCATGTCTATGGCATTTTAACACCCAGTTCCTCAGCTCTGATTTGGATGCTGAGGGCTGTAAACCTGCCCTGGACCCTAGGGAGATGGTGCCAGCACAGCCAGCTCGGCTCCAGCCCARGCACGTGGCTGCTACCAGAGGCACAGCATATGCTGCTACAAAGGATGCTTGGCCTATCCTGTTCTGGAGCTTAGCATAACTTAGGCATTTGCTTCATTTACCTTAATGCAGGATCCKGCTACCTCGGCTCCATTCAGACTTTCCACAGCAAGCTGGGCGGCCTCCAGCACTTCGTACTGGATACACACGTAGGGCTGGAAACAGGATGACAGAGAAGAGTCCTCAGGCTTTTCAAATGCACAAGTCCTCCCCTTCCCCAAGACACACTGCCAGGGGGAAGCTGTCTTCCCGAAGACATCCATCCCCAAACCTTCCTATATATAAAACATTCCATTTTATATATATAAAGCACTCTATATAATACTATATATAAAAAATATATAACAYGTATATAACATATATATAGATATAGCATTCTATATATATATCTATGTATATGTTGGCTGTTACAAACAAGTTTTAAGTAGTTCAGCAATGAAGAACACTCAACTCCTCTCCCCTAACTGCTTGTGCTTTTTCAACAGTTCATGGTCACTCTATGTAAGTGGCTTCACCAGCAAAAGCTGGACCATCTGAGCTGTGTTTATTGCTCATTATGCAGAACAGCTGTACCCTGTAGCTAGCAGCTATGCTGCTGGGGAGAAAAAAGTGTATTTAAATGTTTTGGATTCATATCTTTCCAAGACATTACTTCAGCAGACTGCCTGTCAGCAAGCTGAATACTTGGGCTGGTCTTTACCTGATATGTTTCTGTTAACACTGTAAGAGAGTGGATTGGCCCACACCTCCCAAATTCCTTCTTCACAGTTTTCAGGCAAAAGCTTTCATCAAAAGGACCTGCGTAAATTGTCAGCATGTCAGTCAGCTTGACTCTCACCTGCAGGAACACAAATTAGAGCAGGAACTTCACAAAGCAAAGGAACTAACTGCCTGTGTCCCCAAGTATATAGGCTCTTTCCAAACTCAGCAATGAAGAATCTTGTCAGGAAAAAAAAAAATACCTTTTCACAAATTCCAGCAAGAAGGTGAGGTGCAACATGCTCTGGAGCCAGACTGAACTGAACGATACTGAAAGTGGACAGGGGAACATCTTTTAGGGCTTGCTGAAGAATCTGTAGGGAAGGGCATATGCAAGGCTCAGAGGGGGCCAGGACAGTGGCACAGCAAAGGATGAGAAACAAAGCTCCCGCGCTTAATGCACAGCTTTACTTTACTTTCCTTACTGTCCAAGGAAGCCTTTGGGCAGAAATCACTCTGAAAGTCTTCTCTACTGAGTCATGAGCGAACGATACGGGATCAAAGCTTACTTCCAAATCAATAAAACAGATTTAGCTAACATGCTATTATGACTATTGTTAAGATTACTGTTAGTCAGCTTTTTAAAATAGGCATCATTGCCCTCCCTGAACAAGAAGAACTTTGAACTACTTTGATGCTTGCTTAGACCAGCCCACTCTAAGTCCATTCACCTGTTTGTTTGAAGAGCTCAGGTTACCCTGACACACGCCAGAAGAGTCTGGTTCCTGTCTGCCCAAAAGGAGGGGTTTTTGGCCAGTCTTCTGCAAGCAGTCTAAAAAACTAGCAGACAAAAGAAAGCTTTGAATCACACTGCAGCTCAATGTTAGAAGTTAAAAGCTTTCAAGAAGCATCTGTCAATAAAAAAACAGTACAGTTTATTAAGAGAAAATTTTAAAGAACGTTCTTGTCCTCAACATCAGAGGAAGACTAGAATATTCTTTGTAAAATCTAAGCTACATCTGCTGAAAGTTTAAGTACTATTTTACAATTAGCTCTATTTCTCTGAAGATACCAATTGCTTCTGAAAAGACAGCATACACTATGGACTCAGTCAAAGGAGAAACATGCATATTTGAGAGTCTTATGGACTCAGTCAAAGGAGAAACATGCATATTTGAGAATCTTATTACCATGATCTGGATAATTGTGGAGGCCCATTCTGCTCTCTCTGGACTGTATTTTGTTGCAGCTGTAAAGCAGATTTATTTGGTGACATCTCAGTCAGTCTTTCGGTTGTCAGAACCATCTCCAAGTTTAGTTCTGCTACCTTGAAGAAGGAGGAAGATCAGTAGTTAGCTTTTATTACAGCTAATTGTTGCTGTCCAGAAAGAGAGAAAGCTGTCCTGCTTTGTCTCTGAGTCACCTAGACACATCACAGTAGAGAAACACGGGCATTCRCTTCTTGCCTTGTTCTTCTCTGATGTCATTTGTCAAGCATGCAGCATTCTCAGCCCAAACCAGCAATTATCCCAAGTCCATCCTCTCAGAAACCAGCAACATGAGGGACTCGTAAAACCCRCTGAATCCCTGACACAACATGCAAGTTCCCCCCTTCTTTCATTTTCTGAACAGTGAAACACTAGTCAGGTGCTGATTATTAAGATTACAGGCTATATGCTAAAAGTAACAAGCTGCCAAAACTGAGGCCTATATCACCTTTTCATTTTCTTTTCTAAATCAAAAAGAGCCTGGGTAGATTTCTTTTCCTTCTTAAGTGCAGCAACTTGCAYGCTCAGTTATTAAAGTCTTTTAACAAAATGGACAGAAATATTAATTAGATGCAGCTACCTTGGCTGGTCCCTGCTCAATAAAGAATTGAGCYAATTCCAATGCAGCTCTAGCATCTTCTGTAGGATCATGTCCAATCTTCTGTTCACATTGGATCTCTTTCCTAGAGCATCAAAATTAGACGTACAGGCAAGTTATCTGTGTTCCCACACTGATGAACATCTTGTCTTTTCTAAACTGTGCCATTTTTGGGACAAACCAGCTTTCCCCTCTTCAAGAAGGATTTCAATTCAGTGCAGCAGCATTCTTGTGACATATGTCCCAAAGTTACTGCAAGAAATGTTTTGGCAATGTTGAGCAAAGCATTATTAACATGGCTTGACAGAAGCAGTGGTAACATATGGTACTCTGATGCACRACTATTTTAAAATTTACTTCTGCACTTCAACTCGGCCAAGTGTAGAGTTGTAGTGTATTAATGTTCACCTTACAATTAATGTTCACCTAACACCTACAGTGTTAGCACTGTATCACTAACAAGTTCTATCCAATAGCAACTAGTACACTGCGGAATATAATTAAGTCAGATATACTTTCATAGCTTAGCTTTTCTTTCTTGGTAACTGCAATTAATCTAATTTATGCAAGTTAAAGTGCCCTTGTTGCTGTGCAGTTCAACACTGTAGCTGATAGTGTGACTTGCAAATAAGCTAGTTTTGTGATTCCAGCATGAAACAAGGACTCAACTCTGGTTCTGTCACCACATCCATTTGCCCAAAGACCAGTCAGTTTATTACACTGCCTGATCTTCGAGGAGGCAGCAGAGTCTTTCTCATCGTGTCTGTTTGTGCAGCATTCTCCTCTGATTTTTAATGAAGGGGAAAAAATCCAAGACTACTGGAGAAAGAGCAGGGCCCTTTGACTTCCAATGTTACTGTCTAATACTTTCAATAACAATGAAGTAATAAACATACCCTAAAACAGCTTTGGCTAAAAATTTTAGCTTAAATCTTCGACCTTCATTTCTAGCAAAAAGCAATGAAGTATCAATAACACTGGGGTGGATCATCTGGAAAAGAGAGATATCAAGCTTTTAACATAACAGCAGTCTCATGGAACTGGGTAATAGTTTCATAGCTAGCTGTGCTTCTGCCTTTGCATTTCAAGTGCCAGTTTCTTATTGACAGAGTAACTGGTGCACAACAATGTAGAAGACGACCCGAGTAATGAAACAGGGCAAAGTCTCCTCCCTTTACTCCATCAGGAAGATCCAAGTGGGGGGGGGAGGGGGGGAAGGGGGGAAAAAAAAAAAAAAAAAACCCTCAAGGATATTAGTTTTGTTAAATACAGAAAGGACTTAATGTCGGCCCATGACAGAGCTGTCAAAAGCACCTGGCTGAAGCACAGAGGTAAATGTGCTGTTGCAACTACATCTATTGCATCCTCCCTTTCCTTTGGGTTCTGAACGACACCTTGCAGGTTTTACAGATCTACAAGGAGTCTTGCACTTTTAAATATTTACTAGTCAAACAGAAAGCAATCCTCTGTTATTAACATGTGTTTACTAATAAAAACAGGAAATGGAAAGTTTTAGGTTTGAAATAAATATCACAGCTTTGGAGAAGAAAAAAAAAAGGAAGGCTCCTCAAACATACTCACCTGCAAAGCCTGAAGGTCGGCATTTAACGAATGTCCCACCAACACTGCATCGTGGGGAAGCATTTGCTTTAGCCTGGTTTGGATGTCTGCCAGTTTTGTTTTCACTGGAAGAAGAAGTTTCCTTGTGATTCCTGAGAATCTTCAAAACAAAAGTTAGACAAAGCAAAAGCAATGCATTAGCAACAGCACTTACTGGAGGCCATTACAAGCAGGGCATGTAAAATAAACTCAGTGTAATGTACTAATGCCAGAGTGCTACTTACTGCCTCCTATCAAAAACTTTCAACATACTTGCAGGGATATTAAACTGTTGTAAATGCTACCCTGGCTATTTCTAAAGGTTGTTCTCAAGGATCATTTATTCTTAAAGGATGCAGTTACTCTTAAAGGATGCCTCAGACAGCAAAGGTAAGGAAACAGTGCAAGGCRGATGTGGAAGATGCTTCCAAGCATCCTGAGGCACTGATGCCTCAAGGCACTTGACCTTCACTCTAACGCTGGCCCGGCYTTCAGAGAAGACAGGGCYTGAGCTTTRCCTTCTTTTATTATGAACCTGAGCYCAACCTTTGAGCTAGGTGCAARCTGAGGAGCTGCTCTGCTCCTTTTTTAACACATACACAAAGGTAGCTATGGAGCAGAGACACCCAGGCTGCAATCCTATATTCTTACTTACCCTGTATTCTATTTTACTGCCAGAAGTGAAAGAGTATTCTGTGCTTTGTATCACTAACCCATAACACAACTTTTCCTGGAACATGGCAGAATGAGTAGGCATCTGCCTAGACACAGCATAAAAGTGCTTGCATAATTCTTCTAACCCTACAGAAAGAGCTGTATTCTTAACACTGAGTGAAACGGACCAAACAACCATGAACATGTAAAAGCCAAAAGTCCTCTGAAAGGTCCCACTGAACAGACTTCATTTGAAGAGGTTACAGGTCTTAAAGATGAAGAAGTARAAAATGTCCATGCAGGTCACCTGGTGCGGTAGTTGACTACTGGGCTTTCAGGTTTGACTAGTTCACTCAACAGGCACCGACCCTGCGCGTCCACGAGAGAGACCCGCGTGACTTCATTGCCCTTGGCCGTCAGGCACTGTCAGGAAGAGGCAGAGGCAGAAGGTGAACGAGCGCGACGCCTGCCCCCAAACCCCTGGCTAACACCTGCCTGGGCCGCAGCCAGCACCACTACTAATGAACTAAATGCTTCATTTTAATCCTTACAGCCCTATTATAAACATAGCAAACAACAGGCAGGTGCAATGCAGAGAGAGCCATTATGAAGAAATAACAATKCCACAGAATCAGTTTATAATCTGCACCATTCAGCTGGCTCTACAATTTAAAAACAGAACCTGGGCTGCCTCTTTAGTCACTCACAGGTGATGTAAATTCAGCATTTCTCCAAGTCAAAACTAAACTTAAGGGAGGGTTTTTCATCACACCAAGCTCTGAGAACTGTGAGGAGTAAAGGAAAGCGGGRTGTATGGTAGGGAGGAATCCTTCCCCTGCAAACCTTGGGCAGGGTTTTGAGGAGGATTTCCAGAACAACCTCAGGAGGTTTTTGCAGCAGCAGGGACAGACATGGCAGATCCAGCTGCTATCCTAAGAGTCAAGGCACCGCACAGCACAGGTGTAACATTTCTTTCTTTGCTTTTGAACTGCTTTCTGTGTCCTTCCCCTGGCTACATAAGCATGGTGCCACCAAGGAAGGGACYGCAGTGGTTATTAACGTGTCAGAAATGGTTTAGCAACGCAGGGGGTGTGTGGCTCACTGTGTAACAGCTATTAGGGGACGTGTGGGGCCTCACAGAGCACAGTAAAGCAATTATCTTTACCATTTCACAATCGAGACCAAAGAGGGGGCTGCTGTCTGTCCTCTGCTGATCGCACCCCGTGTACATGTAGCCCTCACACCCACGGGAGCCTAGAATGAAAAGATAACTACGATTAAGACCCCTTCATATGTAACTCATCACATACACAAGCAGGCAGTAGAGATAATTTGGGAGTACAATGGACATAAATTATCAAACATGCCGCTAATTGTCAAAAAAATGAAGACAAACAAACAAAAAAACCTCAAAACCTGACCTTTCATGGGATAATCATTTTTCTTCAGCTCTTCCAAAGTTAAAGTATATCTAGTCAGGCCTCGCTTTTCTTCTCCGTATTTCTGGATAATAGGATCCCGCTGCAAATCTGAGCTGTTAGTAGCATACTGGCTACTAGTGAAGGTTGAATCTGTAATAAACATTTACAAATCAGAATCATCAGTTGAGCTCAGATAGCAAAGTTTGCTTGCTGTCAGTTTTCTGCATTAGTACGGACACTAGGAGGCTAAACCTTTCCTAGGAAAGCACTACCTGAGGCAATGAACTATAACTCAGAATACGTAAATCTTACTCCCAGTCCAGCTACTGACACTAGTAGMTGATCATGAGAAAAATCAAGTCTTATCCAACAGAGAGAACATCCTTTCCTCACAAGYACAGCAGCATAAAATCTCTTATTTTGTGAGCTGCTAAAGAAATTCTTTCTCATAACTATTAGGACCAAATCTGTTCTTAAATGAGGGTCATAAATAAACATTGAATTGACCCCAGAATCAAGAGGTGTGTGAAGCTGAACTACCCTGCAGGGATTCTCTGCAATTTACACTTAAAGGAAAATATACCTGACATCTCAGATCTGTGACTGTGCAGTAGGTTTTACAGTCCAGATGCTACAGGACTTTTCAACACTGAAAGTAACAGCTGTTCATTCTCCCATTTAGGCCTTGAATTCAATGTTCTTTTTGTTACACTTCTAAAGATTTCAGTGGAGTTCTCATTGTAGCCTCTTGCAGGTTTTGTACAAGCCTGTAGGATTACAATCACCTCTATAAAGAGTATAAAAATAGAAATCAGTTGTCAACACACCTGTTCTTAGGCTAATTTGCTGCTCAGTATAACAACCAAAAAAAAAAAAAAAAGTGTAACTACCTTGCTTGAATCTTTCTTAGATCTCTGTCCTTTACTAGACACATCTTAGAATAAATTGATCATAAAATGGGTAATGAAGCATCAGAATTTTGCATTAAACATATGGAAAACTTTGCTTCTGCCTTTTACATTTCCTTGTAATAAGTCCAATAGAGAGCAAATGAACTAGTTAGGGTAACTAGCCTCATGGTTTAARCCATTATATGTTCTGCTTTATAAACAAGTTTACCACAGCAGCCAACACATTTAAGCATTGCACAACACATTTAAGCACTAAATTGCTGTGGYTGGAAGAGATCACACAAAACCAATCACGGTACCTCGAGCAGTGTTCTGAGGACTCAGATTTGCTTCATTTCCATACAGGTTGGCTAAGAAGTTAGCTGAAGAAGGTGGTAATATAAATCGCTGGGAAGAGAAACACATTAGAAATTAACTGGGGAAAATAATCAAGTGTTGCAATAATAGAGATGTCTATTTCTAAAATGCACAACTTGGAGGAGAAGAATGAAATTATAACAAGTGGAAGCATGCTCTAGTTTCTCTCAAGAAGAGAGGGAAAAACCCCTACATGTTAAAACATACTACGAAACACACGTCTTTGTACTACAGGATAGCTCTGTCTTGCCTCACTGATCAAGAATGATAATCTCAGAATTTCAYTAAAAGAAGCTAAAGCAAGTTCTGATCTTTCCAGTTAATTTGTGGTTTGCATTTGCTGTAGTTGAGGGGGAATTCTCTACAAGTCTCAAAGCATCTATTTCTTCCTTCAGAAATGTTGTCTGTAACTCAGAAAGTTAATTATATTAACAATATTTTGGGGAAAGTGGGAGAAACTTGATATCAGGTACAACTAGTAAGGGTGAGATTTTTCAGCTCATGGGAATAGCTAAACTATTGAATTTCTGCTCATACACACTCAGGCTAAACTCCAAAGCAACCAAGATATTTTTAATTTCCCTGGCATCTTGAGATGATGCACACCTCACTGCTAAGGCCTCAAAGACCAAAGTCTTTAAAATCTCTGAATATCAAAACTTTGGCCTCTGCTCTGAGCTGACAAAAGCCACTAGTAGATCTTCTCCTTATCTTGCTTTGTGATTCAAACTTGGCCGTTTCCTGCTTGTAAGCTAATAATTTCACTGCAATGATTAAACCTGGGACACGGCTTCACGACCAGAAGTGTAGTAGGCAACAACACAAATTGAGACTTACATGCCGGAAGACTCTTCTGAGGTGTTTGAACTGTAAATAGAATTTGTAGAAATGGAGTTGGCTCATTTCATGCAAAACAATAACCACAACCCCGGCCAGGTGGCTTTGGTGATAAATGCGGCACCAGCTGCAATTAAAAAAAAAGAAGGAAAAAAATCAAAGGAAAACAATTATCAAATACTCTTTAAAAACAAACCTGGAGCCAGGCCAGCTTTCATGTCAGTCAGTGGCAGAGCGCCAAATGACTTCAATGAGAAAAGGCTTTTACAGCTTATCTCAACCAGCCACATATTTCTGGAAACAAAGCAATATGGGAGACAAAGAGAGAATAAATGATAGCTGAATTCTGCATCAGTAGCATTTCAAATTAAAACCTGCCCCATCTAYACGCATTGGAATATGAATATGAGTAAATAAATTCAGCTGTAGTGATGCAGTCTAGTCAACAAAATTGAGAAGTTACTTCATCAAAATGGAAAATTTCACAAAATTATTTTCTAGTCAATCGAAGAAGTCTAAAGTGAGAGCACTTTTACCTCAAACTTTAACTTTTATTTCAAGTTTGGTTACATCTCACCATACTTTTCCTTTCCARGGTTATATACCCTTAATATACCCCTCCCTACCACGCTTTTCCCTTCCATGAATGAAAAGTTCAGGTTAAAAAGGGGCAAAGTGATTAAAACATTTCTCCCTAAACACTCTATAAAGTGCTTCAATTACCTCTGACAAGGAGCATRTCAATATTTTTAACATGATGCCTAATTTCTCACAGCATGAAACTTTTGTTCCACAAAACATTTAATTTTTGACAACAGCATGAAGCAAAATCATGAATCGAGACACACTAGTGTCAGTAGAAGAGCCCTGGCTCCTGCCCAGCCTAGCAGTGACCGCCCGGGAGGGCTGTACCTGGGCTGTGCTGTGTTGTAGCTGCCTGCACAGGCTGTACCTGGGTTGTGCTGCCTGCAGACTGTACCTGGGCTGTGTCGGGCTGTGGCTGCCCACACAGGCTGTACCTGGGCTGTGTCG